TCATTTTAGGTAAACTGCATACAATAAATTGGTGATGACAAATTTATTTTTGAGACATTAACAACCGCAATCAACAAATCTTTGTCCGCTTTTTTTCAGACAGTGATGGCATAAAAAGAAAGCAACGATTTACCGCCCAGCGCATGGGTGATGCGGATGTAGTGGATCGTGCTTGATATGTATGCTCTTCTGTATTTTTAAAGTTATTGTGTATTTATTCTTGAGATAACTTCTCTTATGTGTGCCACATCATTCTCTCAATTTTAGGCCAGTTTGTATACTAAAATTTTTTATATCTGAGAAACAGGCTATATATGCCATCAATTTTAGAATTCATTCATACATTTTTGTATTATTCAAAATTATCAGCAAATTGTGTGTTCTACAAGGATCACCAGTCCTTCACCTTTCATCTGATAGCTAAATTACTAAAATATATGCTACATAGTTTAACATTTACCCTTATGCGTAGAAACTATTTCGTTTTAAATATGTACTACTTTCCCGTATGTTTTTTTGACCGGGCCCAATTAGCTGGTGTTTCTTCTTACAAAGTCTATCCAAATTATTTTTGCAAATAATTCCGCTCAAGCCGGTGCTAGGGTCGTCTTAAACTTGAAGTGAGGTGAGAGTTATTTTGCTCCCTTTTGAAGGTATCAATGTGACTTTGAGATGAAGAACAGCAATAAAAGCGCTGTTCCTTTCCTTTTTGTGTTTGTATTTGATGTGCAGTACTGATTTTGTATCATGGATGGATACCCCATATCTTTGTTTTTCTATTATACTATAAAGCATACCTTCATTTTGTAACCAATAGCGTAATGACCTTTTGTACAAAATTCTTCGTTTGTCCAATCACCCAAAACTTCGCCATTCGAAACAGACAATACCTTATTATAGTCTAAAACATACATAAAACTAAAACATAGCGTTTGAGTCTTACTTTATTAGCCATTACTAATAATCAGATAAAATTTGTTTAATACAACATTGTCAGATAAATTTATTTATATGCTCCAAAATCATTATAAATCGGACGTGTATTAAGATATGAAGTATTTCTGAACTTGTAACCAACTTACAAATGCTAAAAGATGAGTCAAACCTGCAATGATTTTTAGGTCCACATTTTGTTTTCTATCTTCATTATGCATGATCACTAGATGTATACTAGCTGTGTACATCCGTTCAAATACAAATTGGTTCATTAAGTAGTGTTCCCTGTTACACGTTTCACCTTTTACGTTTCATCTTTTGAATCAGAAGAAATTACAAAACAAATATTCTTCTAATAAAGTATTGCTTGGGTTAAGAGTTTTACAATTTCGCTTACTGTATGAAGAAAATCACTGATAAGTGTACTAACCTAAATTATTTTGATTAATTACAGATGATTATTGTACAGACTTATCTAGTAAAATATAGAACTTATTGGATACCTTTTTTTATAAATAATTTACATTTCATATTTCGTCTTTTTTTTTGAAAAAAAATCTTGTTAGTCCTTAATTAATCATTAATTTTATCTTTCAGACATAATTTACAGAATCCCTTTAAATAGTGTAGGTCCAAAGTAATAGGCAATGAATAAATCTATCATTTTTATATATCAAACATCTACTATATAGTCATTTGTGTATTCAATTATGAGGTCAAGTATTTGTGTATTGAGATGTATAATGAAGGGTTTGTTTATTTGCGAAGACTGTCAGAGGTTGATTAGTAATGTGGTCAATATGATTGGCATTTAAGGAGGTGGGGCCTTGTAACAAGGCCCCACCTTGTCTCTAATTGTTTGGTGATTATGACAGGTGTCAATTATACTGTTATCGTATCATTACTCTTACCTAATCAAAATGACAAAAATACTCTGCACATTGACAAACCTTAAAACATACATATTTGAATGAACAGCAATACAAATATAATCCAAATTTTTCACAGTTCATATGTGAATATGTACACAGACATGAAATATATTTCAGTGTGTATACATTTTGAAGATTTAGTAGCTAACCTGTGCTACATCTTATAAGGGAGGCCGGTGCCTTAGGAATGACTTGGAACAATAGTTCCAATCTTTCCAAAAAACTGAGAAAATTAATTGTTAAGTAGTTTTAAGTTTTTTCATTCAATTTTCTTGATAATATTTTGTTACGAAAATGATGGCTGCTCTCTGAGTTTGCAGCTTCCATGATCTCATTCAGAGGAATAAGTCTGGATATTCTGAAATTCTCGCATTATAAGCAGTTTCACGATTCCCCCCCCCCCCCCCCAAAAAAAAAAAACCACAAAAAAACAACGTCAGCAATGGTTTGACTTACCGCAATATTTGCGACTGTTGTGTAGGAGATTTGAACCAGACACGTCACCAGAAACCGTATGACAACAACCAGACTGTCCGAGTTTACACTCTCGAGTCGAGGTTATATACGTTATCTCACAACAGTTGTCACTGTTCCCCAAACAGAATTCTGCACACTGGGTTTCCGACATTTTTCCTACTAAAGTTAGATTCACCAACCGTATTTTCTTATTTCTCTCTATTATAAAGTTGTCCTCTCTTGTCTGATATTTCCCAACAGTTAAACTTGCGTTTTGAAAAATTAAGGTCAATATCAAAGCGATTGTATATATTTCCATGTTAGGAAAGAAGGAAAATTAGTATTATTTAAATTGTCAACGAATACATAATACGCATTTATATTGGTTTTCCATTTGAAACATAAAATTTATTCATTTACATAGTATTTCAGTGAAGTTCACTAAAATGTGTCTATAAAATAGTGAGTTTTCGCGCTTTTAACGAAAAGATATAGATTGGATTGTCAATCAAGATTGAAAGGCGGAGAAAACAAGTGGCATTAATATTCATGAGGTCAGCTGCAATGATATTGATGAAATGTTCTACGTTCAATTAAGTGGTGTTGGCAACCATCGAATTTAATGATAAAATGACATTTTGCTGAATACATTGTTGTTGCTATTCATATTAATATAAACATTTATTATCAATGTCGTGTGCTTGTCCCGGTTTTTTTTTTTATCAATACGGAAAGTTGAAATTAGATAATGAATATTTAATTTTCAATCCAAGCCAATGCAATCTTTCAAAGATTAAAAACTTGTCAGAAATTATGGCAATTGTCTATTTTTAGTAAAGAATAAAATAAAAGAGAATGAGATTATAGATCTAAAGCGATCAAATACAACGTCCCAGAATGTTCAATAACTAAAAGCCTCAATTGAATGAATTGGATAATCGGAATATATAATATGTATGCTTTCTGTAAATTCCATACACTTAAAACATAATAAACGTTGATGTCTTATCAACGTTTATTATGTTTTAAGTGTATGGAATTTACAGAAAGCATAAATATTATATGTATCCCTTATAAAATACAAAATATCTCCAAACATATTTAGGTTTACCAGCATATTGGACAATTGTCATATGTCTTTGTTATACATTTATCGCTGGACCTTAAGCAGTCATCCATCATCACCATCATCTTTTTTATACCATGTATACGTCAATACTGATTGCCATGTTTTTCTTAAAACTAGTTAAACTCCTGATCACTGAAAATTATCATTCAAAATTGATGTGTAATCTGATTTTATGATTTTTTTTACAATTGCTACTTTTTGCACAGTCGGGGCACTTAGCGAACTCCATAATATTATGGAATTGGCTAATTTAAACTGTATTATGAAAATCCATAATATTATGACATTAAATAATATTTCTATTAATATTAAGCGAGCCCATAATTTTGAAAATTATTGAATTACATAATAATGCATGAAAAAATGAAAACAATGTTTTGGGCACTGCTAATCAGTTCCGTAATTTATTCATTCTAAATTGCTACTTTTATGATCATCTATTGATTATAGCCATCCGACAATCGTCGCTTTTTCCACGTCTTACTTATACATGCATACGTCACACCTGTTTATCATTTTTTACAGAATTTTGAGCAAGAAAGACAACTCGTGTCGTCTTATATGCCATATTTGTGTTAAACTTGTTATCGTTCCTTCAACAATGAATTATAGGGGTAAATTCAGTAAATAAATATACGTCATCAGGGACCGCCCATTTGGGGGAGAGCTTTCTGTACAAAACTGAAGTCCTGTGCTCTTCTGATTGGTAGATAATGTTTGTAATAAATATTTTTTGATAGATGGATCAAAACTAGAGTTAAAAAAATGAAAAAATGAATGCTGAATGTACTAAATTTTTTTACTACAGGGTTGAAAAGTAATGGGGGTCAGTAAAGGAATTAAGTGCGAATCTACAGTGTTTGTAAACAAGGCCATGTGAATGCCCAAAAATGGCGCATGACCCTATGTTTTTATTGTTGCAAAAGATAGGGCTACATTTGTACTTTCATGAATGATATATGAAAGCTTCCAATTTCTAAAGGTAAATCAGGTATACATTTAATTCAAGACAAAGATTAGCATTAAAGTCAATGGGAGATTTTTTACTGAATTTACCCCTATAGGAAAATATGCACTCTGTCACTGTACTTGTTCAAGGCCACACAATAATCACAAAACTCATTTCCTGTAAATATTAATGCAATGGAAGCTTTTTGGAACCAGTTAAAGTTGTTTTTATACAAATTTCTATGTTTAACCGCGGCTATCCAGGATGCTCTGAGTGTACTGTGGGAGGAAGCATGGGGTATATGGTAAAAAATCAGTTTTGTGTCCAGATTGAAAGAAACAATAGAAAGTACACTTGAAAGTTATGATATTATTAAAAGGCATAAATATTCTCCCCATTTTAAATCACATTTTGCACATATTTCTCCTAATAATGTGTAAAATCATATGGAAAATCAGAATTACCTCCCTTTGACATAGTGTATTTTTTTTAGCTGTGTTCCCCATGTTAAGTTGTAGATCATGTTGTAAATAATCACTTATCAAGTATTTTAACACTCGAATAATCTGACCGTATGAAGATATTCATTTATTACATAATTCATTGCGTTTCTTTAAGTAAAAAAAAATACTAGACAACTTTTCATGATTATATACCCTTCATCTATAAAACTAGTGTTGAAATGTTTGTAATTGGATTGCTATGTTAAATAATTGCTTTTTAACATTCTAAATTGTTACTTTTATGTTCCAAATGCAAAGTTTGGTCATACCCAGTCTTATTTTTTTCATATTTGGCACTTTTTTCTACTTCAGTTTTGTCCGTCTAGTTTTGGCGAATAAACCATCCAGATGTTGGGGTAACAGGAATTTCTGCAGAGTGGTTGTCAATGACATTTTGTGAAATTTACAAGTAATTAAAACACAGATTTAGTAAAATGAAACATAATTGTTGTTTTTTATGGTATGAAACTGCTTAATAACCTTTGAAAAGTCTTTTTGTGGTCTTTTTCAGGGTATTTAATTAAAATCTTCCATATGAGGCAAAATTTAACTAAGAGTACATCAAGACTTTAGTTCCTAGATGTACTTGCAATACTGATCAAAGCAAACACAGAAAACAATTCATATTTATTAAGCATAGTAATTTACACCATTCTTTTAAAAACAGTCAATGTGCAAATTTATATACCAAATATACAATGGCCGCAGTATGGGCTGTAGTATAAATTTTTCTCTCTCTTTACAAGTTCAGCCTTTATGAATGTTGTATTGAAACTGGAACTTGAAAATTGGATACATTACATAACTAATACAACAAAAATAGGAAAAGAAGTTAAAAAGTCCCTTATAGGGGTAAATTCAGTAAATAAATATACGTCATCAGGGACCGCCCATTTGGGGGAGAGCTTTCTGTACAAAACTGAAGTCCTGTGCTCTTCTGATTGGTAGATAATGTTTGTAATAAATATTTTTTGATAGATGGATCAAAACTAGAGTTAAAAAAAAATGAAAAAAATGAATGCTGAATGTACTAAATTTTTTTACTACAGGGTTGAAAAGTAATGGGGGTCAGTAAAGGAATTAAGTGCGAATCTACAGTGTTTGTAAACAAGGCCATGTGAATGCCCAAAAATGGCGCATGACCCTATGTTTTTATTGTTGCAAAAGATAGGGCTACATTTGTACTTTCATGAATGATATATGAAAGCTTCCAATTTCTAAAGGTAAATCAGGTATAAATTTAATTCAAGACATAGATTAGCATTAAAGTCAATGGGAGATTTTTTACTGAATTTACCCCTATAGGAAAATATGCACTCTGTCACTGTACTTGTTCAAGGCCACACAATAATCACAAAACTCATTTCCTGTAAATATTAATGCAATGGAAGCTTTTCGGAACCAGTTAAAGTTGTTTTTATACAAATTTCTATGTATAACCGCGGCTATCCAGGATGCTCTGAGTGTACTGTGGGAGGAAGCATGGGGTATATGGTAAACAATCAGTTTTGTGTCCAGATTGAAAGAAACAATAGAATTTACACTTGAGAGATATGATATTATTAAAAGGCATAAATATTCTCCCCATTTTAAATCACATTTTGCACATATTTCTCCTAATAATGTGTAAAATCATATGGAAAATCAGAATTACCTCCCTTTGACATAGTGTATTTTTTTTAGCTGTGTTCCCCATGTTAAGTTGTAGATCATGTTGTAAATAATCACTTATCAAGTATTTTAACACTCGAATAATCTGACCGTATGAAGATATTTATTTATAAAATAATTCATTGCGTTTCTTTAAGTAAAAAAAAATACTAGACAACTTTTCATGATTATATACCCTTCATCTATAAAACTAGTGTTGAAATGTTTGTAATTGGATTGCTATGTTAAATAATTGCTTTTTAACATTCTAAATTGTTACTTTTATGTTCCAAATGCAAAGTTTGGTCATACCCAGTCTTATTTTTTTCATATTTGGCACTTTTTTCTACTTCAGTTTTGTCCGTCTAGTTTTGGCGAATAAACCATCCAGATGTTGGGGTAACAGGAATTTCTGCAGAGTGGTTGTCAATGACATTTTGTGAAATTTACAAGTAATTAAAACACAGATTTAGTAAAATGAAACATAATTGTTGTTTTTTATGGTATGAAACTGCTTAATAACCTTTGAAAAGTCTTTTTGTGGTCTTTTTCAGGGTATTTAATTAAAATCTTCCATATGAGGCAAAATTTAACTAAGAGTACATCAAGACTTTAGTTCCTAGATGTACTTGCAATACTGATCAAAGCAAACACAGAAAACAGTTCATATTTATTAAGCATAGTAATTTACACCATTCTTTTAAAAACAGTCAATGTGCAAATTTATATACCAAATATACATTGGCCGCAGTATGGGCTGTAGTATAAATTTTTCTCTCTCTTTACAAGTTCAGCCTTTATGAATGTTGTATTGAAACTGGAACTTGAAAATTGGATACATTACATAATTAATACAACAAAAATAGGAAAAGAAGTTAAAAAGTCCCTTATAGGGGTAAATTCAGTAAATAAATATACGTCATCAGGGACCGCCCATTTGGGGGAGAGCTTTCTGTACAAAACTGAAGTCCTGTGCTCTTCTGATTGGTAGATAATGTTTGTAATAAATATTTTTTGATAGATGGATCAAAACTAGAGTTAAAAAAAATGAAAAAAATGAATGCTGAATGTACTAAATTTTTTTACTACAGGGTTGAAAAGTAATGGGGGTCAGTAAAGGAATTAAGTGCGAATCTACAGTGTTTGTAAACAAGGCCATGTGAATGCCCAAAAATGGCGCATGACCCTATGTTTTTATTGTTGCAAAAGATAGGGCTACATTTGTACTTTCATGAATGATATATGAAAGCTTCCAATTTCTTAAGGTAAATCAGGTATAAATTTAATTCAAGACATAGATTAGCATTAAAGTCAATGGGAGATTTTTTACTGAATTTACCCCTATAGGAAAATATGCACTCTGTCACTGTACTTGTTCAAGGCCACACAATAATCACAAAACTCATTTCCTGTAAATATTAATGCAATGGAAGCTTTTTGGAACCAGTTAAAGTTGTTTTTATACAAATTTCTATGTATAACCGCGGCTATCCAGGATGCTCTGAGTGTACTGTGGGAGGAAGCATGGGGTATATGGTAAACAATCAGTTTTGTGTCCAGATTGAAAGAAACAATAGAAAGTACACTTGAAAGTTATGATATTATTAAAAGGCATAAATATTCTCCCCATTTTAAATCACATTTTGCACATATTTCTCCTAATAATGTGTAAAATCATATGGAAAATCAGAATTACCTCCCTTTGACATAGTGTATTTTTTTTAGCTGTGTTCCCCATGTTAAGTTGTAGATCATGTTGTAAATAATCACTTATCAAGTATTTTAACACTCGAATAATCTGACCGTATGAAGATATTCATTTATTACATAATTCATTGCGTTTCTTTAAGTAAAAAAAAATACTAGACAACTTTTCATGATTATATACCCTTCATCTATAAAACTAGTGTTGAAATGTTTGTAATTGGATTGCTATGTTAAATAATTGTTTTTTAACATTCTAAATTGTTACTTTTATGTTCCAAATGCAAAGTTTGGTCATACCCAGTCTTATTTTTTTCATATTTGGCACTTTTTTCTACTTCAGTTTTGTCCGTCTAGTTTTGGCGAATAAACCATCCAGATGTTGGGGTAACAGGAATTTCTGCAGAGTGGTTGTCAATGACATTTTGTGAAATTTACAAGTAATTAAAACACAGATTTAGTAAAATGAAACATAATTGTTGTTTTTTATGGTATGAAACTGCTTAATAACCTTTGAAAAGTCTTTTTGTGGTCTTTTTCAGGGTATTTAATTAAAATCTTCCATATGAGGCAAAATTTAACTAAGAGTACATCAAGACTTTAGTTCCTAGATGTACTTGCAATACTGATCAAAGCAAACACAGAAAACAATTCATATTTATTAAGCATAGTAATTTACACCATTCTTTTAAAAACAGTCAATGTGCAAATTTATATACCAAATATACAATGGCCGCAGTATGGGCTGTAGTATAAATTTTTCTCTCTCTTTACAAGTTCAGCCTTTATGAATGTTGTATTGAAACTGGAACTTGAAAATTGGATACATTACATAACTAATACAACAAAAATAGGAAAAGAAGTTAAAAAGTCCCTTATAGGGGTAAATTCAGTAAATAAATATACGTCATCAGGGACCGCCCATTTGGGGGAGAGCTTTCTGTACAAAACTGAAGTCCTGTGCTCTTCTGATTGGTAGATAATGTTTGTAATAAATATTTTTTGATAGATGGATCAAAACTAGAGTTAAAAAAAAATGAAAAAAATGAATGCTGAATGTACTAAATTTTTTTACTACAGGGTTGAAAAGTAATGGGGGTCAGTAAAGGAATTAAGTGCGAATCTACAGTGTTTGTAAACAAGGCCATGTGAATGCCCAAAAATGGCGCATGACCCTATGTTTTTATTGTTGCAAAAGATAGGGCTACATTTGTACTTTCATGAATGATATATGAAAGCTTCCAATTTCTAAAGGTAAATCAGGTATAAATTTAATTCAAGACATAGATTAGCATTAAAGTCAATGGGAGATTTTTTACTGAATTTACCCCTATAGGAAAATATGCACTCTGTCACTGTACTTGTTCAAGGCCACACAATAATCACAAAACTCATTTCCTGTAAATATTAATGCAATGGAAGCTTTTCGGAACCAGTTAAAGTTGTTTTTATACAAATTTCTATGTATAACCGCGGCTATCCAGGATGCTCTGAGTGTACTGTGGGAGGAAGCATGGGGTATATGGTAAACAATCAGTTTTGTGTCCAGATTGAAAGAAACAATAGAATTTACACTTGAGAGATATGATATTATTAAAAGGCATAAATATTCTCCCCATTTTAAATCACATTTTGCACATATTTCTCCTAATAATGTGTAAAATCATATGGAAAATCAGAATTACCTCCCTTTGACATAGTGTATTTTTTTTAGCTGTGTTCCCCATGTTAAGTTGTAGATCATGTTGTAAATAATCACTTATCAAGTATTTTAACACTCGAATAATCTGACCGTATGAAGATATTTATTTATAACATAATTCATTGCGTTTCTTTAAGTAAAAAAAAATACTAGACAACTTTTCATGATTATATACCCTTCATCTATAAAACTAGTGTTGAAATGTTTGTAATTGGATTGCTATGTTAAATAATTGCTTTTTAACATTCTAAATTGTTACTTTTATGTTCCAAATGCAAAGTTTGGTCATACCCAGTCTTATTTTTTTCATATTTGGCACTTTTTTCTACTTCAGTTTTGTCCGTCTAGTTTTGGCGAATAAACCATCCAGATGTTGGGGTAACAGGAATTTCTGCAGAGTGGTTGTCAATGACATTTTGTGAAATTTACAAGTAATTAAAACACAGATTTAGTAAAATGAAACATAATTGTTGTTTTTTATGGTATGAAACTGCTTAAAAAACCTTTGAAAAGTCTTTTTGTGGTCTTTTTCAGGGTATTTAATTTAAATCTTCCATATAAGGCAAAATTTAACTAAGAGTACATCAAGACTTTAGTTCCTAGATGTACTTGCAATACCGATCAAAGCAAACACAGAAAACAATTCATATTTATTAAGCATAGTATTTTACACCATTCTTTTAAAAACAGTCAATGTGCAAATTTATATACCAAATATACATTGGCCGCAGTATGGGCTGTAGTATAAATTTTTCTCCCTCTTTACAAGTTCAGCCTTTATGAATGTTGTATTGAAACTGGAACTTGAAAATTGGATACATTACATGATTAATACAACAAAAATAGGAAAAGAAGTTAAAAGTCCCTTATAGGAAAATATGCACTCTGTCACTCTACTTGTTCAAGGCCATACAATAATCACAAAACTGATTTCCTGTAAATATTAATGCAATGGAAGCTTTTTGGAACCAGTTAAAGTTGTTTTTATACAAATTTCTATGTTTAACTGCGGCTATCCAGAATGCTCTGAGTGTACTGTGGGAGGAAGCATGGGGTATATGGTAAAAAATCAGTTTTGTGTCCAGATTGAAAGAAACAATAGAAATTACACTTGAGAGTTATGATATTATTAAAAGGCATAAATATTCTCCCCATTTTAAATCACATTTTGCACATATTTCTCCTAATAATGTGTAAAATCATATGGAAAATCAGAATTACCTCCCTTTGACATAGTGTATTTTTTTTTAGCTGTGTTCCCCATGTTAAGATGTAGATCATGTTGAAAATAATCACTTATCAAGTATTTTAACACTCGAATAATCTGACCGTATGAAGATATTCATTTATTACATAATTGATTGCGTTTCTTTAAGTAAAAACAAATACTAGACAACTTTTCATGATTATATACCCTTCATCTATAAAACTAGTGTTGAAATGTTTGTAATAGGATTGCTATGTTAAATAATTGCTTTTTAACATTCTAAATTGTTACTTTTATGTTCCAAAGTTTGGAAAGTCAATGGGAGATTTTTTACTGAATTTACCCCTATAAATCGACTTGTAGAAAATAATTGTAAAAAAATAAGTGTGTCAGCCTCGTTTACAATACATTAGTGTTTTTAGGGAGGAGGGGTTATAAAAAAGTAGTACATTTCTTTCAGTGTTCTTTTTAAATTGTAAATAGCTATATAAACATCATCTATAAAACACATTACTTTCGCATGCTTCTATGTCTTGATTTTGACGAAATTTAATTAATGGTCAAATTCACAATTACGATTAGCCAAAGTAATAATTTGTTCATAACATGGAATTGTCATTGTTTCAATTCAGTTTATGTTGCACACATGCGATCTATTTTCTAATTCAAACGTGTCAATGTTACTATTTTTGTTTGTGTATATCGGGCAAAGTAGATAATTTGATAGATCATTCCTTAAGTCCTATCACTAATTCATAATGTACCTTTCCAAGTCCTTTGAACTTAAAGTTTTCTTTGCAAATGTAATCTCTTTGTTGACTTACATGTATATAAACAATTATGTTTCATCTTTAGATCAGAAACTCTAAATCGAGACATCGAGACAGAAATTAAAAAAAAAATCACTGTTGGTTTAAAAATAACCTTAAAACTAAAGCAAGTAGAAATAAAATATAAATATTGATGTATTACCAATAAATATGTATTTCGACGACGGCCAATGTTTGATAATAGATAAACCTGAGTATTGATAACTATGATTTTTTTCCTCTACACAAATCGTCGGAAAACAAAATTTAGTTATGTTGATTTACGAGAACCACAAACTTAATTAATGTACAATTATACAACAGAAAAAAAGATGTAAAGATTAAAATATTTCAGTGTGAAGTAAGGTCATATAATACTATATTACAATGTAATTAGTTTTAGCAGTATGTAGAATTGATAAGAAACAGCTGACATAATTTACGTTTGATATGAAAATTTATACGCATAACAGAATGAACTAATAATTTTAATTTCTTGTTAAAATAAATGCACAACGTAGTTTTATATCTGAGTGCAACTTGTCAATATAAGTTTGAATTGTGCATGATGATTTAATTCAATTTAAAAACATGTATAATAGATTTCTAATTTTTTTGTTTATAACCTGTTTACTTTTAATAAAATATTTTTATTTTTATTTTATCAATTTAAATTTATGCATGGACTTCCTTTGCATAGCATTATATCAAATAGTTTGTAAGACAAAAGATAATACAGAATAAAATATATAAATACACTAAATATTTACATTATAGAGGTCTGAACACCCAAAGAGAAAAGAAGTGTCAATTAGTACATGTTAATCGCAATTCATTGAATGATAAATCTGTTGATTCATCCGATAGAATATAGTATAAAAGCTACGAAAAATATTGCATAAAAGTCTGACATTTGTTCTATTATCTTAGCTCATATTCTAAAACGAAACTGTGGGGGAAACACCTGTATTCCTTATTTTCCGAATTAGGAAGTATTCTTTCAAAGTTTTTAAAATTAAACCAACAAATCAAGATATACTGTACAGTTTATTGCATCTTTTTAAAATCTCCAATGTATTGTTACGCCAAGAAAAATGAACACACTGTTAAAGTTCAAACTCATGGCCCTTATTTAAAGTATTTTTTGTAAGCAGAGTACTATGTCTACAACTTTATATATGTAATGAGGGTACCGCCTCGTTGGTGATAGCGCGCTCACCTGGAGTGCGGGAAGTAGATGTTTGATCCCGGTCGGATCAGACGTAAGACTTGAAATAGTGTATGTCCTCTTTCTCCTTCTCAACAGAAGATTGAGAGTAATGACTGATTGCTCCGGATTCAGAATAATGTGTCCGGGTAGGACAACATTTCTTATTGCAGACTGCTACTTTGTGAACTAGCACGACTGAAATCCTGTTCCTCGTGTCAGTCTAGTACAAAGCCGGGTTCATATGACATTATTGTGTTCTTGTCCTGTATATTTATTTGACCTGACACTGGACGTGAAACAGTCATACATCAATATCACCATCAACTGCTATCAAGGGAAATGTCTTTCTCCAGTTAAAGTTTAAACGAGTGAATTTATATATGGTATATGACGTTCTGTTGGATTGATCTACAGTATTCCCCCTTTAAACCAATACAATCTGCACCTTTATAACATCAACTTCCATATATGAATGTTACTACCAAAGTATACATACATGTCGCGCTCACAAAATACTAAAAATATCCAACCCGAGTCTGTGAAAGTCACCTATCATCTACAACATACCACAATTCAAAACCATACTCTTTCGATGCGCTTTTCGATTCTATCACATAAGTTCGTTAATATCAAAGCTGATCAACGCACCGATTCGTTCATTCAAAAGAGGCAGAAAATACAAAAGGGACAAACAAAAATCATCCAAGAAAAGTTGACAATACAGTAAAAAAGCTCGAAAAAAGACCAAAAACATTACAAAAGTCTACAAAACACTTCTAAGAAATCTACCGTATAAAGACTGAGCAACTCGAGTCCCATTAACAACTGGATATGTCAACATGTACTCACCTGAAACTGTACATTGTATAAAAACAATACTTACATCTCTACATACTTGATTAATAACTGGATTAAAAAGCCACAGAAACGAACCAAAAAGCAGACGATTTAGACACCATTCAACCTCTGGTTCATGGACATCTTTGAAAAACTAAAGCTAATGAACGAAGCGTTATAAAGAAGGCTTATTCTCTTTGGGAAAGTGCAAGACAACGTATTTTTCCCGAAAGCTGCATACCAACCGTATGTACAAGACAATCCATGCACTTAAATTACCCCATAATCAATATTATGGTATCCCATAATCTAAGATATATTATGAGAATCAATAATATTATAAGATAAGATAGTCTACCAATCTTCACTAAAACTGATATTCTGTACTCTGAGGTTGGCTGGGAATCTTTATATGAAAGACGAAGAAGAAGAAAATTACAGATGTTTTATAATATAAATAAAAAACATGCACCTGAGTACCTGTGTAATCTTGTCCCCCCATGTATACAAAGTACAACCAACTATCCGTTGCGAAACGGTCAAAATATCATTGTTCCATTTTGTAGACTTTCCCTTACCACTGAATCTTTTATTCCATCCACAATACGAGAATGGAATAAGCTTGACTTAAAAATTCAAAACACCGACTCTATATCTAACTTTAAGAGAGAATTGAAAAATGAAAGTGTTCAGAATAGAGTTGCGCCGTATTATATGTACGGTCCGAGGAAACTGAATATTATTTTAACTCAATTGCGATGTTCCGCTTCATTTTTAAACTCTGACCTTTTCAAAGCTAACATTATACTGGATCCTTCGTGTCAGTGTGGGTTGATATTGAGGATGTTCATCATTTTCTTTTAGTTTGCCCAAAATACAAGTTACATGTAGAGAAATTTTACTTAACAATCTTTATTGGCTTACTGAAAACTTTATTATTGATACTAAACTATTAACTTGCGGAGACCTTGAACTTTCGAATGAACAAAATCTCCTAATTTTCAAATATGTTCAAGATTTTATTAAAAGGTCTAACAGATTTCTAGTACCTTCATAAAATATTATTGCTACCGGCACGGATGATCATCACCATCAAACCTAAGTCATCATCACAGAAAATATAATTTGCTTCTTTTTCTTTTCCTCCTTTTCCATTCTTTCTTCTTTTTATTTATAGTTCGTATAATATTTAATGATATTGTTCGCTTTACATGCATGCTCATAATGTTATTATTGTATATATATTTGTATTGTAATATGGAGAAGACTTCATAAGTATGATTTACTTGTGTCTCATCTATTTTGCTGATATTTAGCAAATAAAATATGTTTAAACTAAACCAAGATAGCGTAATATGTGAATTAATATTATGCAATCACATAATTTTGGAAACGCATAATAATGCATGAAATATAAAAATCGAACACGTCGTGATAACGATTTTATTGGAATATATTTTTGTTTG